TAATATATTTTAAGTGTTTTTGTATTTTATTTCAAACACACTTCAATTCACGTACACGCTGTATTTGTGAGATTTTTTTGCATACCAGGAAAACAAGTGACCATGCATTTTTACAATGGTTATTAATAATATCATATTCATATTAACAATGAAGACTTGATTCGTACAGTACCCTTTAATATAATAAATAAAGCACGAGTCTTAATTTAAATAACATTAAATACAAAACACTTAGTAAAATACTAGCTGTCTTACTATTTGAGGTCAATAAATGTATCAAATCAAATATAAAAAGAAAATAAATATTAAGATGAAAGAGAATATAGAATGAAAAGCATAAGATTTAAAGAAAACCCACTGAAATATAATAATGCAAATAATATTAAAATCAGGATGCATTTATTTTTCTGCATCAGTCGTGGTTATTATTTGTTAGTGCTGCACTTGACTTCCAGTGTTCTGTGTATGTAAAGCTCTGGTATTGTGTTCCTGTGTTTCAGGATTTCATGATGCAGCAGACCATGCTGCGAGTCAAAGATCCAGTTAAATCGTTGGACTTTTACACCAGAATCCTTGGCATGACGTGAGTACTAGTTTTTAAGTGTTGACTTGACTTATATCCACTTTAAACACACGATTCCTAAAAAACTCTCACTCTTCCAGGCTCCTGCAAAAGTTTGACTTCCCCTCCATGCGTTTCTCTCTCTTCTTCTTGGGCTTCGAGGACAAAAAGGAGATTCCTACAGAGGTGAAGGAAAAGACGGCGTGGACTTTTTCAAGAAGAGCCACCATTGAGTTGACACAGTAAGGCTCTACCCTACCTTTTTGTCTCCTTCCTCCTTTGTACTTTTCTTTTCTTACCATTTTTGTATTCCTCCCTCTGCCTTTCAGTAACTGGGGCTCTGAGGCCGATGAGAGCCAGTCCTATCACAATGGAAACTCAGATCCACGTGGCTTTGGTAAGATTTCTCCCTGTTTTTAAAGTGAAACAAAATGTCTTGTTTGAAAGCCTACAGCATATATGATGGCATAGACTTGAAATGTAGGAGAATAGTATAACACTCTTTATAAAATGTCCATTTAACATTTAAAGGATATACTGTTTGCTTTTTGTCTGTTGTTTTTAATGTGTGAGAATCTCTGAACATGTATTGGCTCACTGGAGCAAACTACACTATGGCTAACAGTCTGAATCCATAGTAAAGTGTCTATATGTCTACCTGGCATTTAACAGGACACATAGGAATTGCAGTTCCTGACGTCTACGCTGCCTGCAAACTGTTTGAAGAACAAGGAGTCACATTTGTCAAGAAGCCAGATGATGGTAAGATGTGAAGCGTTAGTGAAACTCAGGGTCATAGACGGGTTAAATACATAAAAACTGACAGCCTGCGTTGTAGATATTTTTCTTTCTTTCTCCATTAGGCTTTTTTAGTTGGCTTGTGCCCTTAAAATGAAAAGCAATTACAATTGAAATATGGGCTGATGCCATTCTATTCAAGAATAAAATAAGCCCTTAAGTATACTACAATAGATGTTAACATTTTCATTATTATTTTTGGTCTTAATGAATCTACCACTGTTGTTTATCTTCAGTTGTATTCACCTCTCCCCAATAATATCAAAGCAATGCGATTTTATTTTTTGTAACTAATAGTATTTGTACACCTTTTAATGTAAGAGGGAATTATAATTATGATGTATTTCCCTAATATCCTGAAAAATATGAATATACCTTCAATTGACCTGCCCCAAAGCCTCATCTTATTCTTTTACTTCACTAGGGCGCTTCCACATTGATTAATTTGGTGGGTCAGTGAGCTGAAGTGCTATTACTTTGCCAAGCTTTAGTAACCTTTTTCTTCTCCAAATGAACTGTTTTTAAACTTCTTAATACAATTTTATTAAGTTTTGATACTTTTTTTTGTAAGAAAGTTACCAATTCGATACTAATGAGTTCATCCAAATAATGCATACGTGGGAATGTACACTGAAGTTTGGAGCTGTTAGAAGCTGCTGGCTGTGTGAGAGTATTAGTAAAAGCAAATGTCACCAATGTTTCTTCATAATAACTTACTGCCAGAACCGTAGACATTTCCGCACTGTAAGTTTAACCATAGGGTATCAAATAATAATAATAATTTAAACTATGACAGTTAGTGGCTAACGTTCACTAACTAGCTTCAAAGTTGGGTAGCTAACGTAAGCTAGCTTGGTAAGTAGATGGGTAAGTAGATAACATTTGCTATCTAGTTTCATAGATAGCGAATGTTTGCTAGTAAGCTTAATGGCACAACATTTTTTCCTAGATGGCTTGTTTGATGGGTAATTAACGTTAGCTAGCTTGTTTAGTTGATAGCACCTGTTTTCTAGCTATTTTGATAGATAGCTAATGTTTGCTAGCTATCTAAATGGTACACTCAATATTTGTTTCTGTGGACATACAGGATTTGTATTTTGAAAAGTATTTTTTATTTATTTATTTATTTTTATTATATTTTTTATTATATCATAACTTAGTACTTTTTTTAACATATGTAACATTAAGCTCTCTGTGGCTCTTTCCTGCTGTAACGATGCAAATTTCCCCTCTGTGGGACTAATAAAGGTATTCTGATTCTGATAGGTCAATCATTCTAGTAATGGTTATTACAAAACCACTGTAGACATTTGGTTTAGAACAGAATTTGACCAGCTGAGCTTATATGCCTTGTACTTTTGTAGTTTCTCAAAGAGGAACCATCTATTCTACACGAAGAGATACTACAGAGTTAATCAAAATATCCTCATATGAGATCTCAGGCCATTTTTAGGTCATCCTACCAGCCACTAACTGAGGATAAATGCTGTTAAACCATCAGTAGATACAGTGTAGCTGTGAATGTTGCCAAGTACAAATAATTGCTTACAACGCTGTTAAGTTAAGAACTAACACATTGCGTTCAAATCTGGAGGAGTACACTTCACTGCACACTTGCTGAAACCTGAATTTCAAAAGTTTTTTTTCACATGTATTCATACTTATTTTTTTGCACCCCAGGTAAAATGAAAGGCCTTGCATTCATTCAGGACCCTGATGGATACTGGATTGAGATCCTGAGTCCTAACAACATGGTGTCCATAACCTCCTAAAAACTCTGACATCATCATGTCTGTGTGCACAGCCTGCTGCAGTGCACACAGACAGGACCTGCTGCAGCTTCGCCCGGAGAGCAGAGCGTCGGGTTTAGCGAATAATTTAGCAGCATGCGCCAGAGAGCTGAGGGAAATGGAGCGGGATGCACACTGGCTCTCAATGTGCCCTGGCACAGGCTGGACTTATTAAATACCTGAGTTATTGCTAAGACTGTCAACTACCTTGTGTAGCTGTTGTCTACCATCATCAGTTTGTATGTGTCTTCAAGTGATGCTAAAATAAAGCTGTATTACCGTGTAATAAATGTGAAAGCCACCATTTAAACACATTTGTGATTTCTTGAAATATTGAGAGACAAAGCAAAAAGTAATGTAAAAAGTCATTTCTGCCATGGGATTACTATCAGGATTATAATAAACTGACCTGGGTTGTTGCAGTTCAGTCATAAAGGTTTCAACATATTCCAAATTCATTATTTATTATCGATAGATAGATAAATATAAAGAAAATGATTCTCAAATTCTTGTTCATAAATATTATACCAGCCTTAAAGTGTTTCCCATCAAGTGCTCATCACTCTGTTGAAAATCATTCTGCTTTGATTGTTCAAAATTGGAGCTTGAAAACTAAAAACTCTAATTATGTTGGTAATATTTAATTGATGTTCAAATGTCTGGTTGTTTGTGAGCTTTCTTATGGTAAGTCTATTGCATTTATTTTTTATAATGAACCAGGTTCAAATGTAATGCCAAACATTTCAAATGCCATTTTAGAATGTATGTTTACAATCTCACGTTTACATTTGGACTCAAATCTGAGCTATCAAGATAATGTAGATAATATTTGGTGACATTTGAACCAAATAGGAAAGTGCCCGATGGACTGACTGTACAAATTACTTCCCTAACATGTGTTTAGTGAAAATTGACATTTTTGACACTTTTACTCAAAGCAGAAAAGGTAAACCATTTGTCTGGTAAACAAAACATTTTTGGCTCAAATCCCAGCTGTGCCGGCTTAACAAATCTAACAGAAAGACAAACATCACTTTGATATCAGGTTTAATTTTTGCAACCATTTGCTTAACTAGCCCTGGTGGCCTGAACTGTAGTCACATATCTATATTGTATGCTATCTAAACCAATTTATTTTAAGCAAATTTCAGTGTGTCTGTCTTGTTTTGACTTCTTGCAAAAATAATATACAAATATAAAGGAAGGCTTAATGTTTAAGGCAAATGGAAAGAGATGCTTGTTTTGTCAGTTGAGGATAACTGCTGTGCATCATTTAAGATGTTTGACTAATGATGATACAATAAATTGAAGATTTAGTTTGTGTATGGTGAAGGCCAAAGTTGTTTCAATGCATGGCTCTGATTGGTCCGTTTAGGTAGAAATCATCTGATCTCCGATACTTCATGTTGGGGAATTTGTAACAAAAGGTCCTATATAATCCACAGCTCTGCCTTTAAAGAAGAAGCATCCCTTCTCTTTTCAGCAAATATCCCCGAGGCTGAGATCTCTTTGTTGGTGCCGTCATTTATGGTGAGTGTTAACATAGAAACAGCCTTGGTTTTATAGAAAAAGTTGTTTTTATGTTCAATGTTTTTGGTATTACCCTTGGCATTTGATCCTGCTGCTCTGTCATAGTAGTTTTTTTATAAAAAAATTGTGAAAATTGCAATTAGCTTTTGTTGACTGTGGCTAAAAGTGACCGGATAATTTGTCTCAAAGTGGAACTGTATAAATAAGGATGATTGAGAAACTAATTAAAACATATTTAAATTAAAGTAACCTAGTTGTTATTATTGTTGTAATCCCTGAAAGGTGACCTAAGTGTACTTTGTAGCCTTTTTGCAGACAACATGGAGAAAAAGATCCTTCTTCTTCTCCCCCTCGTCTTCTTCGTTCTCTCCACTCCTCCGCATGCAGCGACTTTCAGAGTTGTCCCCATATCTGACAAGCTTGACTGGGATGTTGCCCGGGCACACTGCAGAGAGCACTATAGCGACTTGTTCAACGTCAGAAATCAAGCCCAGGCCGACATGATTGCTCCGTACAAAGGCTGGATTGGTATGAGATGGAGGTCAGATCACTGGAGATTGTCCAGAAAAAATGAGAAAGCTGTCTTCAAGAAGTTCAAATCTGGTGGGATGGAAGGAAGATAAGTATACTTACCTAGTTTGTTCTGCTTCCATTCAGTGTACACTTGCTACTTTTATGGCAACCAAATGGCCATATAAATATTTTAAAAAATCATGAAAATTGGGCCTATCATTATAATCAGGTTTACCAGAATGCAATCATGTCTATGTTACAAGAGAGACTGTAATTTCAGACTCTATCTTTTTGCTTTTGTAGGTGAACCAGCCTCTGATGGGTACTGTGCTGAGTGCCATGATGGAACCGAATGGCACAGTCATTTATGCTCTCAAATTGACTCCTTCATATGTGAAGACAGACTTAATCTGGCGCAGGAGGAGAAGACATGGGAAGAGGCCTTACAGCACTGTAGAGAGCTGCAGGATGGTGGCTTATCTGCATACGACCTCGCCAGTCTGCCAGGACAACATCAAACTGTGTTGGACAGAATGAAGTTAGGGGGACTGGACCCAAACACCAAGGGGGTTTGATGTTTTTCTGTTTGTGTGCTTGTGTGCTTGTTGTTAGATTTTGTCACTGTAACTGTCCTGTGATAAGGAATAGTTTCCAGTTAGCTTAGCGTAGCAGAAATACTGGAATTATTTGGAAACAGCTAGCCTGGCTCTGTTCAGGCTCACAGCACCTCTTAAGGTCACTAATGGCGCATTTCCACTGCAGCGGGTAGCCCCGTTTAAGCGTCCTTAACCGTCCTCAAGCGGCCAGGCCAGTTTTTGGTGGCCTTTCCATATAGCCTAGTACCGGCTAGCGGGTACTTTTCCCCTCTTTTTTCGGCCCCATAAAATCGTGGTTCTATCAGACCAGGGCCAGGGCTGAACTAGTGACGTCAACACTCTCGACTGCTGATTGGTCAGAGAGAATCGTCACAAGATCGCGCGCGAGTTCATCCCTAGCGTCGCATATATATTTAGAAGCAAGCTTGCAGCATTTTTATAAACAGCATTTTGTAAACGGATGAGCTACAAAAATGGCTACGTCTAATAAGAAAAGCACACCGTGGTCGACCGAGGAGGTGACGACGTTCCTACATCTCATTGGGGATGATCAAATCCAGCGGGAGCTCGACGGAACAACTTGAAATGTGAACAAAAACAAAGCCGATCGCCCCGCCTACACTGCGTTGCTACCCCAGGTCCTAAACTGTAATGGGAATGCGCCACGACCTCGGACGGCCAGCGAGGCAGCCCGAGGCCTGAGCGAGGATGCTTAGGGACGCTTAAACGGGGCTACCCCGTTGCAGTGGAAATGCGCCATTAGTAACATCTGTAAGGGAAACTTCTGTGTAGCAATACAGTGGGAGTCACCGACTCAGGAAGGAGACACGGTAGAGCAGGAGCTTCGATGTCAAACACTGATGATTTATTTGGAGTTACGGCCGGAGAGATTCACATCACAAGTCACAGCAGTCACGGTCTAACTGCACGGGTGGGTTGCCATGTCAATTCTAAAGAACTCTACCTCAGACCCCTGTATTTAGCTAGTTCTGAGAGCATCATCAACATGCTGCATAACAAGATAAAATCATAACACCTCTATCAGCTGACGTCAACAGGCAGGAACATAGAACCATAACACCTCTATCAGCTGACGCCAACAGGCAAGAACAGGGAGACAGAACACTGAGAGCACAGCAGCCAAGGTTACGAGGTGCATGTGCTCAGTCAGGACAGTTTGAACTGATAAACTGGGTCAAAGTTATGGGCCTTGGAAAATATTTCCACAACAGTTTTCTCTTTTTATCAATTTTGATAATCTAAAAACCTTAGTCTGATAATATTTTGTTCAATACTTAAATCAATGGGAATCTTCAGATTTGAGTGTGGACTGTAGTGAAATATTTGTATGTATTCATGTTAGCAAACTATGAATAAGCTTAAAATGGGAAATAATTTGTGTAAAACTGTGAGCTGGATTTGGGGCCTGTTGACATGTGTTTTTGAGGACAAAGGAAGATGGGGGAAGGTGAGAGCATGTATTGATTTGCATTCAACTTAGATCTAGCTACAGTGATTGGGGAAACCTAAGATCTGAGGTGTTTGTGATATAATCAAGGAGGTCCAAAGGGAGGATCAGATAACTCCTCCCATTGTTAGAAAGTATAAACACAGAGACACACGCTGTGTTCAGTCTCTTTCCTCTGGCTGGCTCACGTGCAGGTAAATTCGGGATCCCAAAGATAACTGTATGGAATTTGTACTGTATTGATTGTATTGCATTGTCATGTTACCATTAAAGTAGATTATTGTTTAACGGTTACTTGGTAGCTCTGGATTCCTTCCTGTATTATAACCAGCTTGATAGGGACACGCGGAGATTTGAAAAGCGGACCAGTTATCCCTTTAAATCTCTATCAGGACTTACACAACATCAATTACATCAATAACAATCACATTAAGATTGAAACATTCAATCACAATGATTGATACAGCCAATCATAATAGAAAAATCATCTCTCATCAGTGTTTGGATCATCTTTTGTCAAAAGCATTATAATGAACACACATAAAACACAGGTGCACAATAGCAAAAATATTTGTTTTGGGCCAAAACTGAAATTAATCCAGTACTTGAAACATCAGTCTTTCTATGCATGGATAATACATTAAAGAGTAGTGTTGTTAAGCCTGATTGCTGGACGATTAAGGATATTAACATTATCTGTGGTAATAGTAGAAATATCTTATTATTCAATACCTTATAATCTGAAAATATTAATTAATTAATTTTGTTTAGTGCGAAAGTGTAATCTGATCCGGCAAAAATATATTAATCACCACTATTCAACACATGTCTGGTCATTGGAAATATAAAAACAGTCATTAATTGTACCTCTGTAAACATCCAAGATATAAAATCAATGCAAAGTTCATCTTTGTACGAGAGCTGGAAGAACGTGTCCTTCAGTCTTTCTGACTCGTTCTCCTCCTCTCTTTATGACAACGAGTGTCTGGTGTGTAAAGGCATCCTGATACTGTAGATTAGCAGTGAGGTGCTGATTGGCTCAAACTCTTGTTCATCAGAGCGCCATATTTAAACCCCCCAATTGCTCTGCTTTTGTGTGGCTCATTAGTGAGCACTGTAGTTGATTCCCCCCAGTGAAATGGAGGCTCATCTGCCTGCATTCCTTCTGCTATCTGCTTGAGAGCAGTGCAACTGCGTATTCCAAGAGGCGCATCCAGGTTTCCCCCCGTAATGGGAGAGGTTAGGAAGACATCTGCTCCTCCAAGAAACAAGGAACCTTGTATGAAGCCTCTGAAGCCCTCGGTCGTCCCGCAGGGTTGTCTGCCTGAGCCCACCGAGCAGAATGGTGAAGATTAGAAGCATCCCATCTCCTCAGATAGTTGAAGATTAGAATCCTCTCATCTCGAACGACCTCGTGCCTCCTTGCCCGTGGCTGGGGGTGCCCTCTGCAGCCGGAGAGTGTGACCCTCTCTCTCTGACCCTTGGCCTTCAGAGCTGTCCTAGTTATTGGGTTAACACTTGATAGGGATGTTTTCCTGAGTGCAGACAACTCAAAGTAATGGATTAGCACATTATCATTTAAATACAAAAATAGGATAGGCCCCTCAGAATTATTTGGGAGCCTTCCTGACACATGCACATGCATAAATGTAAGGTTTGTGTTAGTCATTTAACATGCAAGAATCATATACTCATCAGTCCAAAGCAGAGAAATGTTATTTTAAGTTAAAGGTGAGCTAGTCCCTGTGGATATAACCCCTTCTCAATTATTCTAAATGTTATATTAATTCACCATTTACCGTTTGATAAAATATTAGTTTATCAGAAATATTTTTCTCTTCCATAAAACAGGTTTGAGTAATAAATTACCCAATATAAAATCAATTACTCAATATAATTGACTCTTCCCTCCCTTTTCTTACATATGTCACATATGAAATAATAACTTAGGAGTCTATTTAAGCATGGTGTAGTTTATAATCTATTACTCGAGAAGACTCAGTATCACCTGTGTGCAGCTTCCAAAAAAAAAAACAATTGTGAGACACATATTATGCAGGAAATGTATACATTTGTTGAAAAACAAAGCATAGCTGATTTGGGAGGAAAAGCTTCATCCCCCTTAACATCTGAGTTACCACTGAAGGCATAGCATGAATGATAGTGGGTGTCTGAGGGTGTCACTACTGAGAAATGTCAAACAAATTCAAAACCTTACATTTGAAAACAGGTTTGCATTCCTCCACTTAAAGTGACGTTATCATTGGAAACAATACAAGCTAATTGTTTTGATGTAGAATCTATCAATTGAATCGTTAGAGCAGAACAGAATGGTCGTATTGTAGCCTGAGTACCATGCAGCCTTTAGTTTTACCAGGTGGAAACATGGTCCATATAATGTGAATACATGTAGAACTAAGAGGCCCCTGACATTAGGCCTATTTTAAAAATAGTAGGGGCTTTTAACAGCTTGCCAACCTACAGGCATCCTCTGCATAGCAGTATGAATAGCCTTAAAAAAACAACCCACTCTGCGGTAACGAGAGTCATGTATCTGAACCAAATGCCCTAAGTGAAGCCGTTAGTCTCATCTGACTGACCCAAGGGTTGGTGCTGGTGTGACAATGAGGCTTCAAAGTGTTCAAAGCAGATGTCAAGCTTTCAGTTCATGGCTCGGTGGGGGGAGCAGACCCACGTGAGACAGTATCAACGGCTGTAATGTTCAGTTTGAGGAGCATCATTCTCTCTGGGAGCAGGAAATGGTGTCCATTCTCGGACCAGACCATTAATGTCATGTAGAGCAGCCATAGCATCTCTGTGACTGCACTCAGCCGGACTGTAGCAGGGTAGAACTGGGTGACTCTTAGTGAAGCCGTCCAAGGCCATAGACAAAATGGAACCACGTACCAACAAAAGGGACACAAGGTCATCAATGTCTCTCTTTACCATTGGCCTAATTGCACAACAAATGAGTGGGAAAAATGTGGAACACTAATCCATCATCATGTGAAATGTTGAGTTAATCTAAATAATTACTTATGGGTTGAAATCAAATTAACATTAACATTAGAACTAAAGTCAGTCAAAATTGGATTTGCACGGATCAGAATCTAAGCAATACACCATTTTCCCAGCTCTGTAATGAAAAGGATAACAAGATTAGGTACATTACAGGAGTGTTAAAACACCCAAACATGCACACGTATCTTATTCTAGTAGAGATTAGAGGACAGGTTGTTGTGAACAAAATTATCAAGTCAAAGTTATTTTATTTATTCTATGTTATGTACCACATTTAATTTAATAATTCATCTTGAATTACTAATAACTTTAAAGAAGGCAACAACAATTTGGAAAAGGTGAATACTTATCCAAAGTGTGTGTGTGTGGGTGTGTGTGTGTGTGTGTGTGTGTGTGTGTGTGTGTTTGTTTGTCTGCCCAAGGTTTAAAACATTTGGGACAGCAGTGAAAATGTTATGCTTAGACTAAACTCGAAGGAAACTAGACTGGAACATTCTAAATAAATCAAAACACTTGCACATTAATTAAATACATTTGACATTTAGCTCGAGCTGGGTTCAATACTTATTTAAAATTGGGCTCGAGTAGAACCCCTGGATTTGGCTAGCAACACAAAGTGATACTGATCTCTGTAGGACTTGGAAGTGTCATGATTCAAAGTGTGGGCCTGTGAAAGGGAGGCCCTTGGAAAACAACATCTATTTTTTAACTGTAATTACTTATTTTTAAAGAGATTGCCCAAGGTTTAAAACATTTATTATGCACAAAATAAAAACTTCAACAAATATATTGATCCTGGCTTAACCAGCGACCTTTACTCTATTGTTCATAAGCTCGGTTTCAGAAAACTTGTCAGTTTTCTTCTTACACCTATACAGCGCACACCCTGAACAGTGGGCTTCTTGTTTACATTTTCCCCTGCACACTCAGAGGCAGGACATAAAAACACTCTTTTGCTATTTATTTTCATTTTGCAGCACATTTATACTACCAGAATTTTGCTTTACATCTTTATATTATTTATTTTTCTCAAGTCATTTACTTTTGGTGGGATAACTAAAGTTTAGTTCATTTTACCCTGTCTATGGACTGATTCATTATTAGTTCTTACAAAACATACACAAGACGGCGGGACAAACCAATATAGACCCCCCATACAAACAATCAGACAAACAAAACATGAACTCGTAATAAACACCAGCGTGACAGCTAAGCTCATCCAGCTCAATTTAGTCCGAATTAAGAGGTGTCAGAGGGGGTGGGGAATTGTAGATGGGGCGCCTTGACTCACGCACCCACCCTTGTATACAAGTCATAGATCGGTGCCTGAAAGCCGTCCAAGAGCGATAACTAGCTTATCCTCTTGCGACACCACTACTCTTTTCTAGTGGCGCTGTGCCCCCACGATCAGAGCCCACAGACTTTTCCCTCTTCCCTTTCTCTCCAAACGACAGCCCAGTTGACTGTAGTCCGATACGACCAGCCTATACACTTGCTATCTGTGATGAAAACTTCTGTGTTGCAATGTTGAGGTGGAATGAAGGAGACTGGATCGTCGTTAGCCAAAGCACTGAGAGTTTATTTTACAAGTACATTAATACAGCCGGGGAGATTACTTCGTTTCACACATCTCTGTGCACCCACCAAGCCATCTCTGACACAAAGAAACCACAGCACGCATCAACATGAGAAGAGGCGGAGCCATCAGAAACCCGCGCTTACCTAATCAATAGCAGATGTGGGACAATAATCTGTTTGTCCCGCAAACTGCATGCAGGCCTGGACCCTTCCCCCACAGGAAAGGGGGAGAAGCTTTTGACCTGTGACCTCAACTTACAGAGAGGAGCTTTGACTTTAATACAAAGAATGTTTGCAATATCACAGATTCTAAGAAAAGATAAGAAACTCTATAATCAAGATCAGATTAAAATATTCTCTTACACTATCGAGTTCATTACAACGATGAAACACAGTTTGCTCTATGCTTGCTTGCCACTACCCACCTCGCGCTGGCCCATCTTACCATGAGAAAGCGGTCCTAAACAACGAGTGCTTTTTAGACCATCTCGTTTTTAATAGAGACGGCGGTGTTGTGAGTTAAAGCTTATAGACAAAAGGCTGTGACTTTCTCCCTCTCAGCTGCACTTCTCCAGCCCCACAAACACGGGGAGGTTTTACACACACACACACCCGCGGCCGCAGCTGGAGCCGTGTTTTACAGGGAGGCGATAGCAGTAATATCTCCGGCTGCTTATTTTCAACTGCTGTGTTTGGCCGCTAAAACCCCCAGAATTCGGCGATTTGTCCAATACAAATCTTTTACATTGCTTTCACACAGAAGCTCCACTTCACTGATGCCTTTCTTTAAGGTCTCTCTAAACATGAGCTGTGTATACTTGTATGGCACTTCCGTCCCGAGCAGCACACACAGAGGAAATCAGCCAGGACTGAGTCCCCAGACACTGATCCCCTGGGTTTATTATCCCCAAATGTTCATTAACCAAAAACGAAACACAGCCGCTCAGTTTCACAGGTAATTTTAGGATACCGTCAATCACAGATTCTGGTAAGGCAATGTCCAAATGTAGATTTGAAATTACACTTACCAGTTCTGAAGATTTGTTGGTATCCTGCCGACAACTCCAATTTGTAAGGGAAACTTCTGTGTAGCAATACAGTGGGAGTCACCGACTCAGGAAGGAGACACGGTGGAGCAGGAGCTTTGATGTCAAACACTGATGGTTTATTTGGAGTTTCGGCCGGAGAGTTCACATCACAAGTCACAGCAGTCACGGTCTGACTGCACGGGTGGGTTGCCACGTCAATTCTGAAGAACTCTACCTCAGACCCATGTATTTAGCTAGTTCTGAGAGCATCATCAACATGCTGCATAACAAGATAAAATCATAACACCTCTATCAGCTGACGTCAACAGGCAGGAACATAGAATGATAACACCTCTATCAGCTGACGCCAACAGGCAGGAACAGGGAGACAGAACACTGAGAGCACAGCAGCCAAGGTTACGAGGTGCGTGTGCTCAGTCAGGACAGTTTGAACTGATAAACTGGGTCAAAGTTATGGGCCTTGGAAAATATTCCACAACAACATCCATTTGTTTATTGGGGGTCATGGGATGGACAATTTTTTGGCAATGCAGAGTAACCTTCTGGATTCTCTGTTGGTTGCCTCGATACACATTGCAGGCATGTCACAACATTGAGGCTGTATTATATTTTAGCTTTTGAGTTATAAAAATAATCCCCTTCGGCTGGCTGTAGCTCAGGTCAGATATATCAGTGATTTTTTATGAAGACGAAAATGTCTTCCAATGTCTGTCAGTCAGATTCCTCTAAATACAAATCTAATACCGACACTTATACCATTTATTCAGTCAATTTAAAATATACAAATTGTCTAAAACGATACGGAAGCCAAGAACAGCCATGTTTGCAATTTTGGCTCATTTTTTGTTGTAAAAACAAAAACCTGTTATCATGAGAAATCATAAAGTTGTTCTCTAACACAGGCAGAAATTGCATTATGTAATTATGTTACAGCTAACGATCAGACCAGCAATGTGGCAAACAAAAAAAGTAGTTTTTCCTTAATCCTGAGAAATAATATGTATTTTTTTGTGATAAATAATTTAAATATCTTGATAAATTTACCTAATTTTCTCAAACATCAGCATAAATTAACCCTTTGTTATAAAAACAAACCTTGTTATCTTGAGCTCAACAAAATAATTATCTTCCTAACTCGATTCCAGGATGGCCGTTTTCCACTTCCGTAGACATACTCACATTTAGGCTGTTAACATTTTCTAGAAGACTGGCAGTCTAGGTAATTATTTCAAGTGGGAACACCAGGTTCCTCTCTCTTCCTTCAGTTCTGCATCATGTGAAGTGAGTGTGCAGCAGTAATTGAGCGTCTAAAAGTAGTTTTCTCTGTAAACAGATACTAATTGTTTCTGTTGTTTCCTGTAGATGTGGGTTGGACTGCGATTCCTGGCTGGTGAGCGGCTGTGGATGGACGGAACAAGGGCACATTCGCCCAATCTTCCTGAGTGTCCTGACCAGCAGCAGCACTGTGGTGCCTTGGGTTATGATAGCCAAGGCTGGAAGACATTGAACTGCAGTGAGACAAGAAACTTCATCTGCAACATCAGAGAGTAAACGCTGGGAGAGAAATCAGATTGGATCTCCACCATGGAGTCCTTATATGAAAGAGCCTATCATAGACAAAAAACTATTTTTATGTTGGTAAAATCCTCCAAAAATCTTAATTTACCTACATTCTTATGCAAAAGTTTGCAAGAGATCTTCAGGAACATTGCAGATGTAAACAAACCGTTTGACGTATCATAAACTTGAAATAGTTATTTTTATTTATTTATTTAATCGTTTATTTGGCAGGGACAATGCACAGTAATGAACACTTAAAACATTCAAATGTATCAAGCGTAACAGTGCCAGATTTAGCTTTGAGCTAATTTCCATCCGCAGCCCCTCACATAAAACATTTTTTAGTTCTTGTCTTACGATATTATAATAAAAGGATCTGTCAATAAATGTGAGACTACTGTTTTTGACTTTTGGAGTCATCAAGATCATAGAGTGTTAACTTTAAGTTGTAATTTGCTCATGTCTATATTAACAGTCTGTAAGTAGATTATTTTCATTTGTGTCGTAAAATATATACAGTACCTTCACCTCATTTATAGTATAACTAATTCATAAGGTAAAGGCAAATCATCTGATCTTATTGACACAGAACATATTTCCTATATTCTCTCTGTATTGAAACTGCTTGGGAATGTCTGCAATACAAATGATCTCCCTGTGTGACTGTTTGTCACTAGAGGGTTCTCTTATCCAAGACACGGTGGATCCATGGTATGTTTAAACTAAGGGAACATTCAGTATGTTGCAGAGATCTACAATGGTGTTACTAATGTATCATACTTTAGGCATTCAATACCAGCAATTTAATTGGATTCTTTATTTATTTGTGAATTACTCTGTTATTGTTATCCTTAAATATTTAGAACAGGCTTGTGAAAGAGTTCAGTTTTCTTTATTTGTCAGACACATCACCGTAAATAAAGTCATACCTACAGCCTTTGGTCTATCTCCTTTTCATGTGTGTACAGTAGTGTATTATATCCTGAAATGTTGACTTAAAATAAATGTTTCTGACATCCGGGAAGAACACACTTCATGATTAAAGCACAGAGAAAAGGCAGATGGAGTCAGTCCAATCCGATTTCACCTTAAACCCTCAATATGTAGCATATGAGGTAAAGTAGTGTCTCATCCCAGAGGCTGCATCCATTCTGCAATCAGGAACTTACAATGCTGTCCACACTTCCCCGAGTGATTTTACACCATTCATTCCTTAGTATATGCGATGAAGATAACAATCAAAGCAGTGGCGAGCCGTAACTTTTATACCTAGGCCCTCTGACCCCCCTTCCCTCGAGGAAAAAAAGAAGAGATATTACGTCACAGCGTATACTTCAGCGGAATATCAAAACCGCGGCCCGGGGTGCAAAACGCATCAATGACAGCGACCCTCTACCACACAAAACAACACCATTTATATAAACACCTATCATGACAGGGCACCCACAGCCAAGTAACAATTACAAATGAATTAAGTCGGCACGGCGGCCCGCATTGAAAATGACTTTGGCCTACCTTTGATGATCAAATCACTTAAACTCGGGCGGACGGCCCAGGGGCAAGGCAGAGTTCGTGGTGGGGGTCTCAGGTGGACGGCCCGGGGGCAAGGCAGAGTTCATAAAGGAGCGAAGGCCACAGCGGGCGAACTCAGGGGGCCGGGCATGAGGACGAAGGCAGCGGCTGGAAGAGTCAGGGGGTCGGGCCCGAGGGCGAGGGCCGCGGCCGGGAAAGTCAGGGGGCCGGGCTCGAGGGCGAAGGCAGCGGCTGGAGAACGCAGGGGGCCGGGCACAAGGACGGGCAGGAGCTGGTGGAACCCCTGGCGGGTCAGGCGTAGACGGGACCCTGGACGGAACATGGGCTGGTGTCAGTGGGACCCACAACAGAGCAAGGGCTGGTGTCGATGGGACCCCAAACAGGACAGGAGTGGGTGTTGGCAGGAAACCCGGCGGAGCACGTGTCGGCGGGACCCCCAACAGGACAGGATATGGTGTTGGCAGGAAACCCGGCGGAGCAGGTGTCGGCGGGACCCCCAACAGGACAGGATATGGTGTTGGCAGGAAACCCGGCGGAGCAGGTGTCGGCAGGACACCCAACAGGACAGGATCTGGTGTTGGCAGGAAATCCGGCGGAGTAGGTGTCGGCTGGACCCCAACGAAACAGGTGTTGGCGAGACCACGGCGGGACCCCCAACCTGTCAGGGCATGGAGTTGGCAGGACTCCCAACGGAACCCCCAATGGAACAGGACATGGGGTTGGCAGGACTCTCAGCGGAACCCCCAACGGCACAGGACATAGGGTTGGCAGGACCTCCGGCAGAAGAGTAGTCGGCGAGGCCTCCAACGGCACAGGACATAGGGTTGGCAAGACCCCCGGCAGAAGAGTAGTCGATGGGACCCCCAACGGGACAGGACATAGGGTTGGCAGAACATAGAAAATAACAACTAACCGCTAGCCGCAAAGCTAACATCACAGCCACTGCTCCATTTTCGGAGACTTTGCACACGTTTTTGACAAACATTTTCACACGCTAGGAGTATGGGAGTACTTCCATTCGCTTCGCCTTGATCTGTAGATGTGATTTGATGTGTCGTGTGTCCCCCCAACTCCTCTCCAAAGTTCAAATATTCGTAAAATACTCAGGGGAGTTTCCTGAATTTTCATGCCCAAAACCAAGCACTAGGCCCTGGGTAAATTAAGAGGCTGATCTCGGGCACTTTTGTCCACTTACCCTGGTGGTAGAAACTCAAGTCAGGCATCCCTGGAATCGTCTCAGAGAGTAGATGATCAGTGGGGCCTTGTTTTTACTGAATGATGTGTTTTTTTATGGGGAATTCAAATAGGAGCATATTTTTAGGATTTTCGGAGACTTTGCACACATTTTTCACAAACATGTTCACACGCTAGGAGTATGGGAGTACTTCCATTCGCTTCATCTTGATCTGTAGATGTGATTTGATGTGTCGTGTGTCTCCCAACTCCTCTCCAAAGTTCAGATATTTAATAAAATACTCAGGGGAGTTTCCTGAATTTTCATGCCCAAAACCAAGCACTAGGCCCTGGGTAAATTCAGGGTTGCCAACACTCACGCATTGAGCGTGAGAGTTACGCAATTAACCCATAACTCACGCACCCACGCCACACTTGCCTTTCCTCACGCTAAGTTTTCGTCCAAAATAAATGTATATAAATATAAAAATAAAGTGAAGGAACAGCAAACCCGTGACATCCGGTTTCGCTATGAGTGGTCGCATTTTCGAGAGCTCCCGCTTTGGAGGTTATTCCTCACGATTTTTTACATATTTCATCCTCCTGATAATATGGATTATGGACTCCTACCTCAACTCATCAATGAGGCAACATCACTTAGAGAAGGAGAGTAATGAAAGCGGGGATAAAATGAACCACAATGACTTTTACCTTCTCAACGGCTGGGAAAGGAAACACCTCGCTTTTGGAAGTGCAAGCATTCATGCATTATTAACTGCAAACCCGACGCGAAAGTACTTACCCCCGTCAGGCAAACTAGACCGAAGAAGTATGATCGTCTTGGTCTTATTGTTAGCGGGAGACATCCATCTGAATCCGGGCCCGGTGCAGACAAGAAGCCAGTCCTGCAGGCTCGATGAGCTAGCATCACAACTAGCATCACAACTAGCATCTCTTCCGCTGCAGCAACAACTAGGCGACGACAACAGAGACCGTCGAGACAGCGGAGACCGAGGAATTAACAGAGACTTCGACATTCCCCCGGGGACGCCTCGACAGACAGACGCATGAGGCAGTGACGAGAGGAAGAGAACCGAGATCCGAGGGAACAAATATCCGCCATGTTGTTAGCCACCCTGCTAGCATATCAACGGCTAAATCTACAACGGAGCCTCCCTCCCCCCACCTCTCCAAACACCACGTTTCGCAATTATGCCACATCAAGGTGGAACGCTCTTTCCACAACTGTAAAGGAAAGTAAAACTATACTTACCTTCAAAACCTCTCTTAAAGAGCACCTTCGGGGGAGAGCATTGCAAAACTGGCCCCGGTAATGGTACAAATCTCAACCTGTCGTTCAATGGACAGCTTCCCCCCCCCATCTATGTATATACTCGCATTTTAGACTCTGTTACTAACTGTATATCTGTAGACTTGGTATGTCTTAAATGTCCGGTTAGGATGTATTAGAACGAAATCTAAAATTAAAATTGTAAATAAGCAATCTGTATGTAAAAAACCACCTGTATGTAAATTGTAAATAAGCCATCTGTATGTCAAATATGTCTTATATGTCTTAAAGGAGACCGATCATGCTATATTTAAATGATATAGTGTATGACCATACCTATATAAGGTATATTTATACATTTTATTTTTCAAAATACCAAACAGATCATTTTTTAGCCATGCCTCGTTTCGCTCATTTTCGCTCTATTCCAAGCCTGTCTTTGAAAATTCTGAGCAGCAGCTGACCACGCCCTCCTGCAGAAGAGCGGGGCATGAGCCGGTGAGAGTCACGTTACCATGCTTGCTGTGATTACGAGTGTGGAATAAACATGTCATCTTAGAGCAATGCATGTGTTCAAGCATATTATCAATTTGATCCAGAGACTGACCTTGAAGCAGCGGAGGTTTTGGTGGAGGTGCAAACATCTCGGTTGCAGCAGGACGTTTCTGAATGGTTAGTTGACAAGCTGTTGTCCCTATTTATTTTACTCTGTTACGATGCTTGCTACTTATTCCGTTCATATTTTGGCTAATTAGCAAGAATGCAATGTGTACAGTTTATAACTTAGAGCTTGTAACGCAAAAACAGCGATACTTATATATATTTATAAAGGGAGACATTCATATTTTCAGCATATATACAATGGCCTCATTGCGTTTATTAATAGTTTACAGTCCTTTTCTTCCAACATCGTGCAACAACCGTTGGAAAGTTCAATAACTTAGGGTGATAAAAAGTATAACTCCAACAACACCTCAGTTGTCAGCAATGTGTGCAGTTTCATGTGTTTTTAAAAGCTCAGTTATTGACTTCTTTCTACAGGTGTACATGTGCAAATTGCGCCACGATGCCTTCTGAACGGAGAATGTGTGCTGCATGGAGATACCACAGGTAACATTTTTGATAGCTTCACTAAGTTGTCTGTTTAGAGAATACATTTTTCACATGTCATTCAATATATGTTTATCACACTAGGTGTCAAGACGGATGCAGGAACTTGAGGACTCTGTAACCTGTATGGTGGACCATCCTGGATTGGAGCCTGTGTGCCTGAATGTGTTCTCCCTGCAGAATGCATTGAATATTTACAGAGCTGAACATGGTGGACTACAGTTGAGGCAAATAGAGCAGTGAGTGGTTTGTTTGTTTTGACTGAAATTGTAAAATGAATGCCAATATTGTTCATGGAAATAAATACTGGTGTATATGGCTTTATGCAATCTTTCATTCTGTCATTGTACATGTACTATTATATACTACACAGCAATGGCATAACACACCCATGTGTACGACAACAAAAGTCCACACACAACCTTATGCTTTTAAAATCAGAATATTCTTTACCCATCCAAACATGAATAATCACGACATATTTGATATCAACTCGGAACTTTATTGTCAAAATCAACGGTTCTTTGAACCCATAAAAAAAAACTAAATGTACTTGTATTTTGTATAAATGACACTAAATATATTTTTTAATGATTTCAGGCGTCACAGGTATCTAGCCTACAGAAGCTTTGTGAGCTGGTGCTGGGGCTTCCTTGGACGCAGGATCAGAGTGGTGATTCCGGCCTGCGTTGTCCTTAGGGAGGCAGGAGTTTCCTGATCCGCGAAATGTCTATGTTGGGTTCAGACAGCAGC